TTACCGTGGCAACGTTCCGCGCGGTACTCACACCGCGAGACTTGCAGTGGAGCTGACCGGACCAGAGGAGAAGGGAGCTGACAGGAGCTGCAGGAAAGGTTACAGCTCGCTGCCTGCCCCCTCCTACACAGCCCATCCACTGGACCACCAGGCAATGAGAGCCCCCCTCCCTGGCCATGTATCAAACAGGGAGGGGGGACGAAAATAAATAAATAAAAATTTAAATAATAATATAATAAAATAAAAATCTTAATGATATAAAAAAAATATATTAAAATAATCATTTAAAAAAATAATAAAAATGCCCACCCCCCACCAAGGCTCTACATCACATACACAAACACACTCTGCATCACATACACACACTGCACTCATACACACACATACACTGCATTCATACCCACACACACTGCACTCATACACACACACACACACACACACACACTGCACTCATACACACACACACTGCATTCATTATATACACACACTGTAAATAAATATTCAATTAATATAATTTTTGGGGGATCTAATTTTATTTAGAAATTTACCAGTAGCTGCTGCATTTCCCACCCTAGTCTTATACTCGAGTCAATAAGTTTTCACAGGTTTTTGGGGTAAAGTTAGGGGCCTCGACTTATATTCTGGTCGACTTATACTTGAGTATATACGGTATATCATTTTATCATATTGAAATGCATCGTATAAACTAGACATGCGCAATTAGTTTTGGGCAGAATATGAATTCGGACAAATTTCAGGCAATTCGGACATTCGGGTCTTTCAGCCAAATTTACTAATAATAAGTAAAGATTAGATTAGTAAAGCCTGTGGCTGCTCACTGTAAAAAAACAAACAAACAAAAACAACACGTCCCCCCTCCCCCTCCTAACCTGAAGGGGGGAACTATTGCCCCCCCGGCCCTCACCCCTGAACGGCGGGTGGGGACCCTAAAGTAAAATAAGGGGGGGACCTATTGTCCTCCCCCCAGCCCCCACCCCTGAGCGGCGGGTGGAGGCCCTAAATCAGAATAAGGGGGGGGACCTCATGTCCTCCCCCCTAGCCCCCACCCCTGAGCGGTGGGTGGGGGCCCTAAATTAGAATGAGGGGGGGACCTAATGTCCTCCCCCCTGGCCCCCACCCCTGAGTGGTGGGTGGGGGCCCTAAATACTAATTAGGGGGGGACCTAATGTCCTCCTCCCCTGGCCCCCACCCCTGAGCGGTGGGTGGGGGCCCTAAATACAAATTGGGGGGGACCTAATGTTTAGGTCCCCCCGAGCTGTGAGTGGAGGCCCTAAATACTAATTGGGGAGGACCTAATGTCCCCCACCCCTGAGCGGTGGGTGGGGGCCCTAAATTAGAATGAGGAGGGAGGACCTAATGTCCTCCCCCCTGGCCCCCATCCCTGAGCGGTGGGTGGGGGCCCTAAATACAAATTAGGCGGGGACCTAATGTCCTCCCCCCTGGCCCCCACCCCTGAGCGGCGGATGGGGGCCCTAAATAAAAAAATTAACCCCCCTCCCCTGTGTGACGAGGGGTCCCCAAATCCTTTCTAGTAGGCGAAGGGGTATGATGCCTTTCCAGAGAACACGTTGAATTTCCTACTGAATCGCCGCTATCTTTGATGTGAGAAGGCATAACACACACAAGGTGGAATTTATACCGAGGCAGAGAACTGAATCACTTGGGATGGGGACCGAGTCGACTCTCTCTGTTCACTACAAACACCAACAATTCCCGAAATTGTATTACAAATCTCGTCTGTGACTGCAGTCTGGAATTGGATTCGCAAAATATCAGCAAGTTGTCCAGGTATATGAGACAGCGGATACTCTTGCTCTCAAGTGTGCCGTGACCGTTTCCAGAAGCTTCATGAAACACCATGGGGCCGAGCTGAGGCCGAATGGTAGACGCGTGAACTGGCAAGGTCGATCCTGCCAAGTGAAGCGAAGGAAGGACCGACTTACGTGCGCCATGGGAACCGATAGGTAAGCGTCCTTCAAATCCAATTGTGTGAACCAGTCATTTTCGAGGAGTAGATCCAGTAAGAGATGGATACCTTCCATCTTGAAGTGCCGGTATGCCACGAATCCATTCAGTTGGCGTAGGTTGATGACGGGACGATAGTCTCCCGTCTTCTTTCTTACTACAAAATGTTGCTGAAATAGCCCTGATTGTTTGGAGCGAACTCCATGGCTCCTTTGACGAACAGGGCTCGAATCTCCTTGTCTATGAACGATATATGGGTTTTCGCTGCCCGTAGTGGGGTTGGTCGTACAACCTGTAACGGAGTACTGGTGAATTCTATCATGTACCCCTTTATCGTTTGGAGGACCCAGGCGTCCGTGGAGATGGCTTCCCAGTTCTGGGGAAAGAGAGGCAATCTGCCCGCAGTTATATCGGCATGCTCACCTGAATTGAATTGCGCGAAAGGATCCCCTTGTGAATGTGGCTCTTGCAGATGGGAACAAGGGTTGAGGTGTGGGTTGATGTCTGGGGTCCAAGGACCAGAAGCAGCTGGTGGCCCGACAACTCTGCCGACCAGCCCGGTGCTGGTGTAGGGTTGCGGAAGACCTGCCTCATGGAAATCTGTGCCTTCAGGGCCTAGCTCTTTCTTCCCTAACTCCAATAGTTTTGAATCCATCTTTAATAGGGCTGCTTTGCGCCGTTCCATGCACATGGCTGCATTTGCATTCCCCAGCATGGGATATTATCCTTTGCACCCATTTCCTCACATCATGAGTGAGGGCCAGGTCTGCAAAATATACATTTTTTTACCAGGGGACCGATCATATCCAGCATTTTATCCTGAACTGTTTCAAGCCCTTTTTCTACGCCCTTTCGTGGATCCCGGCCTGATCGGGACATAAATACCACCACCGTGGTATTGAGCTCCGGGGTGAGAGCTATCTTGTTCGGTAATAGAGGGATCCCTTGATAGGCCTCCTGAGCCAGAAGTGGACAAAGTGTGCCAGGTGATCCAGTAAACCCCATTCGGATGACCTTGGATGTCGGATAGTGTGTGGGTCGAACATGAGGGTGCCCAGTGTGTCAAAGAAGACACCGACCTCACACAAATCGTTATTCACCTCTCAAAGGTCTTTCTTGCTAGGGCGCCCAGCACGTTCCCTGCCCTGAGTGTAGCTCCCCTCCTCTTGGGGCAGGTCCTGCCACTCTTCCTCTTCAGATGGAGACTCGTCTGGGGAGGGATGGAGTCCTCGTCCCCTGATGATAGAGCCTGAGATGGAGAATGGTCAGGATGTCCCGAGTGATGGCTTTGCTTAACCCCTTAAGGACACAACTTCTTGAATAAAAGGGAATCATGACGGAATATTTCCGTCATGTGTCCTTAAGGAGTTAAGCAGGGTCTTCCCTTTCCCCTTCAGGGAGGCCGCGGTGGAGCCCTTCCAATGACGTTTAGATGATAAGGTGTCCAACCTAACGTTGTTGGTATCTCTAACTTCCATTGGTGGTGGGGCCATCGCACCCGTCATGTCAGATGGGTTGTTTGCCAGCATTTTGTCGAGGGCTTTTTCCACAGAAGCTGCCACGGCAGCATTAATCTTCGACTGCAAATCGGTTGGGGGGGATTGAGGGGGATGTTGGGTCACACTATTTCGGTCTGTGGGAGACAGAACAGGTGTCTGGTACAGTAGTACATTTATTGCCACTCATTGGGCCTCCACGTACAACTGGGGGTCACCCAGAATTTTAGTCAATCAGTACCACTTAGTAAAATCAGAGGAGTGGTCTGAGGAGGGGGTCACCCTCGATAAGACCGGGATGTGCGGTCGGCAATGCTGGGACGTAGCGCGTGCATGGGAGGCGTGGTAGCCTCAATTGCCTCTTTCACTGACAAAGTGGTATCTGCCCTCAATCCTTATCATACATTAGTTTTGTGGCAGGATAGGACCTTGTAGAATTGGTTTCATATGTAAATATATTTGGGAGTCCAGGCCAACTCCCTGGTTTAGCAGCCTTCCATGTCACAGATGCCTCATTCCAGGGACCTGGAAGTAAGTGGGTTAATTTCATAAGAGCAGGCATTAGGATAGGACCTGGCAAAAATGATGTGCATTAGTTTTGTGGCAGGATTATGAAGTTTCTGATCATGTACTGTAGTTGAACCCCACCGTTTTTGCCTAGATTGGGTGTTTTTGAAAGACTATTACAATCTGTGAGCTTTGAAGTTCCTGTTTAGTGAATGAGTGAGTGCGCTGGATCTTAAATGTAATATATAAAAATATAGATTTATTACTGTTTCTATTTTTGACCCAATCTCACTCCATTTGGTTAACTCAGTCTCAACCCAACATAATTCAAATATCCCATAAAGCTACTGGCTAATTCTTCATTTTAATTACAATTCCTTTTTGAAAAGCACTATAACCTCTTGATAAAATTACCTTCATCTAAAGCTATTCCTGAAAACCTTCATTTTGGTGTTCAATCCTTATACTGTACAGAGCCTTAACGAAGATAATCAGTGACCTGCTTCTATGCTGCTTTTGATACTAAAGAAAACCAACTGTGCTGTGACCTGTATTTAACCACGGTATTTATGATAGATCTTGTTTACTAACATCATACCTATCCAGTTGTTCCGTCTTTAGGGATCCATTGTCATTCATTACACTCTCTAACATGAAATCTTACTTATTGCATTACTATTTCTCATACATTCCTTTTCACCAGGCACCAAATTAAATTTGTATTATTGATAACATTACTATTTTGATGACTATCCAAGTTTTAGAGTCATGTATGTAGCGGAGCTCCCTGTATCCCAGCTGGATACCTCCGCCAAGGATAGTTTCCTAGCTGGAACCAGGAAAAACCTCAGCGCTTCTGCAAAAGTTGCCATGGCTTGATTGGGGTCCTCCTGGAGCCTCTCTGTTCTGGAACAAGATAGGCGACTAACTCTATTCCCTCCCAAAAACTGGACAACACACAGTCCTGGGAGCTGTAGTCCTAAAGGAGAAACCAACATCAGGAGAGCTCCACTGTATAAGAAATGAGGAAGGGAGGCTATACTTTTATAGTTATACTTTTTGTTTGCAAATCCCTTTTTATCCTTAGATTGATTAAAGGTAGGGCCTCCCTTCCTCATTTCTTATACAGTGGAGCTCTCCTGATGTTGGTTTCCCCTTGTGGGACTCTACACATCACCTACTCCTATTACCTACATATTTTGGAGGGTTACCCCCTCATAGGAGCTCCCTATTAGGTGGTTACAGTGGTGCAGCTCATGAGCCCTTGACTTGTTTCCGGACTCCTGACCTGCACTCTGTTTACTTTATTTCTCCATTTTGTGTTTCTTTTCCCACTGAAGTCTCCACGAGCTGGAACCAGATGCTGAGGAGTAGAACTGATTTTTAATGAGCCAAACTCAGCCTTTTATGCACAGACCCCAGCAGGGGCTCTCCAAACAATACAATACAAGCCCCTCCCAGGAATCTCTGGGCTTGGGAGATAATTGAGTTAAATACCGGCAAGCTGATTATCTCCCAGGAACAGAGAGACAAACACAAAACATAAAATCATAAAAGTACCTAAAAACATGATAAAAACATATAATAACACCATATGTCATACATCCCCAAATATCAAATAAAGGTGCAATGCAAACGTCTGTAGAAAAGAGCATTTGTCACAATGTATGATTCTATTCACTCTTTCATCACTTACATATAATAACACTGGTACTGCTGCCTCCATTTAAGTAAAGCATTGCTTGAACCCAACCACATATAGGTCAAAACAAAGCAAGCTGATTTCTGTCTCACGTATTGGATCCTTCTTCTAATTGTCATTATTTACAAATTGCTATCTCAATTCCATGTAAACAAAAATGCTCCTGACTGATTCATCTTCCTCATTCATCATTTCTCATCTACCACTCCACCCTTTATTGACTTTACAACTTTAAAACAAGTTAAACTACTGACCTTGGCTTGCAAAGTCCTTAACATCTCTGCTGTCTCTTTCTTTATTAAGTGGTCTTGCATAGCAAGACCGCTTAATGTTATCTCACATATATATTATTATTCTTATTATAGCCAAATTTGCCACCCTAACTCCTCCCACAGTTTTTACACTACATAGACAAAAATTTACCAAAACATGCAGATTGTTCCCGATCGGATTGCTATTACTTTGTGGAACGTTTCGTCGAATGGTTCACGGAATATCGTCGTTCTTGTGGCGAAATTTGTCCCATAGGAATGAATGGCAAAGCTAGAGTGGGAGCTGGCAAAAGCTGAAAAATCAGGACATGATTTCTAAACTGCCACCACTCCCTTATTTTCAGGCCCACCTACACAAATCTTATATCAAAACGTTCAGCTATCCCTGCTGCCACTAAACATGTCAACGGCTAAGCCATAGTCCTGATAGTTTTCACAATATAATCATTTGTTTGCAACTAACACTGTCCATTGACATTCATTGAAACTTCACTCTACAAAGCTCAAATTTGAAGTGCAATTTATAAACTGCGACTGTGCCTTCATTTTTAATACTTCAGACACATACTATACATCAAAATGTAGGTCTGGGTCTTGTGATTCTCACAATATAAAGCTCTTCGCTGTAGGATTTATAGTTTTTAAAATACGACCGTTTGAAGATGGCAACCGCCAAAATACTCTGACCTGTGTCAGGCTGCAGCAGCAAGTGATGTCATAGACAGGGCCTTTTGAACACCTGCTAATGTTTTATAACTGTATGGTTTAATGTAACTGTGCAACAACGTTGCAATTAAATGTGTTATATAAATGATAACAGTTACTCCGCCCACTCCAGTTGTAGACTACTGGTGGAGGCAAGAACACTTCACGCAATTTCCCCAGAAATTGTAGCTTTTCTAGTTAGTAAACATGTTTCTTTATTACTAAATATAACCATACCACCAGAGTGGCTCCTTCACTTGTCTCATAAATTGAATCTTAATTTGGATGTGATTCCAACAGACAATTACACCCTAAGTGCCATGTACCCCAGATGTACAATTTAATCTTAATTTGGATGTTATTCCAACAGACAATTACAACCTAAGGGCCATGTACCATAGATGTACCATTGCTATTAACCACCTTTTACATTAGGTAGGTGTGAAGAAACTACCCTGTTTGGTTCGGTATTTTGGATTTTCCCAGTTCGTTAGTAAAAGCTAACGAACACCGACCACCCCCTGGCTCAATAACTTCCAAGAAAACTGTGAATTAAGTGCTCTCTCTGTGTGGCCGCTGTTCGCATAACCGATTGCCACGTGTTGGAGAAAATGGCGGCCATCTTGTCGCATAAACAGAGGCAGTGGGGCTTGGTCGTCGAGTATCTGGAACTAAAATCGGACACTCGTCTTCCCGAAAGCCGGTCAAACTTTGCGGAAGCCTGTTTCTGTTCACCGACCAGCCAGGAGGGCGCTGTTCATTAGGTTTGTTCCCACGAACTAGGGGAACAAAAGCTACCTATGAGTCAGGGGAGCCGTTCGTGGATTTGTTCAGTTTTTTGACTTCCCGAAAGAGACCGACCACACAGCCTGATTTCATGGAACTCTTTTTGGGCAGGAGCCTCGTGTGGGGTCGCTCAAATTATGACTTCCATGGAACTCCCAAAACCCTGAACCGTTCTGGGTGATTTTTGGATATGTTGGTCCCCCAGATCGGAGCTATCAGGGGATATGACTTTTGTGGGGTTCCCATAGGGTTTAAGGTACTTTCGGGGTTTTGTGAAAATGTGTTTTTTGTATTTGGAGATAATTGAGTTTAGTACAATACTTGACTCAATTATCTCCTAAGTAAAGGTGAAGGATTTTTTGTATTCTATGTGGGAGTGTCCTGGACCTAAGAGCCAATGTAACTACCAGCATTCATAACAGCAGGCTACAGATATTTACAGATATTTTATATATAGTCAGACTTGGAGATTCTTGTCATTGTGAACTGCAATTAATCTGAATTTGAGATAATAGGGTGATCATCAAAATTCATAATTTCCAAGCCACCATGCAGACTAAATTACGAAAACAAACGACTCACACAATGGACGAGCATGTTTATTTGATTTGTGATTTGGAGGCCTGTCTGTAGAGCCAAAAAAATTATTAGGGGCTATATACTCTGATCAGTCACAACATTAAAAGTGCTGACAGGTGAAGTGAATAACATTGATTATATCTTTACAATGGTACCTGTCAAGTGGTGGGATATATTAGGCAGCGAGTGAACAATCAGTTCATGTGTTGGAAGCAGAACAATCAGTTTTATGTGCTGGAAGCAGAAAATGGGCAACCAAAAAGATCTGAGTAACTTTAGTCATGGCCATATAGTGATGGCTAGATAAGTGGGTCAGATCATCTCCAAAACAGCAATTCTTATGGAGTGTTCCTGGTATGCAGTGGTTAGTACCTACCTAAAGTGGTGCAAGAAAGGACAACCGATAACCCAACATCGAATCACGACGTTGTTTTCTTTTAAATTAGGTAGATAGCCAGGTGTTTGTTTGTTATGCTCTTGTCAATGGTCTGGTGGGAAACCTTTGGTCTTGGCATTCATGTGTATGTTATTTTGACACGTACCACCTACCTAGAGTTTATTGCATACCAAGTATACCCCTTCATGGCAATGGTGTTGCCTAATGGCAGTGGCCTCTCTCAGCAGGATAATGCACACTGCCACACTGCAAAAATTGCTCAGGAATGATTTAAGGAACTTGACAAAGAGTTCATGGTGTTGCCTTGGCCTTCAAATTCCCCAGATCTCAATCCGATTGAGCATCTGTGGGATGTGCTGGAATAACAAATTCAATCCATAGTGGCTGCACCTTGCAACCTGCATGTCCTAAAGAATCTGCTGCTAATGTCCTGGACACATTCAGTCTTGCGGAGTCTAAGCCTCAATGCATCAGAACTGTTTTGGCATGATGGGGTCCTACACGATATTAGGAAGATGGTCTTAATGCGGTGGATGCTCAAAATATATATATATATATATATATATACATACACGCCCCTGTAGAATTGGTTTCATATGTAAATATATTTGGGAGTCCAGGCCAACTCCCTGGTTTAGCAGCCTTCCATGTCACAGATGCCTCATTCCAGGGACCTATTCAACCTTGCACTGCAAAGAGCCCCAGAAGGAAGTTTTTCCAAAGTAAGTGGGTTAATTTCATAAGAGCAGGCATTAGGATAGGACCTGGCAAAAATGATGTGCATTAGTTTTGTGGCAGGATTATGAAGTTTCTGATCATGTACTGTAGCTGAACCCCACCGTTTTTGCCTAGATTGGGTGTTTTTGAAAGACTATTACTATCTGTGAGCTTTGAAGTTCCTGTTTAGTGAATGAGTGAGTGCGCTGGATCTTAAATGTAATATATAAAAATATAGATTTATTACTGTTTCTATTTTTGTTCATTTGATTTCTAAACCAGTTGGTGGGGAAAATGCTCTTATTATTGTACTACTGTCACCGGTGGCGGTACGGAAATCGGGACCCCTGAGTGCCTGATGAGAAGTGGGAGTCTTCAGGTTGGAAGTGGATTACAGGGCCCGGTGCAGGGTAACCGCACGCCCCCTGGTGTTGAGCACCAGCGTTTGTGCCACAAACCAAGACCCTGTTGCAGCTTAGTGGAAGCCAGAGCAGATGAATGCTAAGATGTATCCAGTACTGAAACAAGGCAAGGCTAGGATAGTCACCAAACATGAAAACAAGACAGAACTAATAGAACCCAGAACCAGAACAGGACAGAAAGCAGAACCCAGAACATGTACACAAGACATTATGGAACATTAACTAAACAAGGGCAGGACAGGACTGTACGTGGACTGGGAATACAAACTAAAACAAGACAAGATATGATAGGCAAAACAAGAGAAGAAATAACTAAGTACTATATATGAAAATCATGGGGATTTAGTCACATTATATGATCATACATTGCATAAGCCTGCCAACAACGCCAATGTACCCCATATCTGGCAGGTCCTACTCTACCTAATGCAAACTAAACCAACCAAAGAAAACACACATAGTCCTTACCTGCAAGAAAGGGCAGAAGACTTGAGCAGCTGCCTGCAGGAACACTGAAACAAAAGGAATGATGGAAAACAAACGGGTGTGGC